GAGACCGGTCCAGGGTGTACCCTGCCTCTCGCAGTGATGGGCACCAGTGACTCCCTGCGACCCAAAAAGGAAGTGGGTAAAGATGATGGATGGTTTGCCAAACACATCATTTTTAATCTGTTTGCTGCATGTGTCTTTCTTTTATGCCACTCTCCCATAAAACGTGGGCGGATACAACTTGACTGGTGAGGAACTCCAGCAAGTCGTCATATGCTCGGTCTCTCCATGTCACCTGCTGAAGCTTGTACATCCTTCAGAGTGGTCTCAGGACTCTTGGTGGTCACTCACATTGTAAGGACAGCCTGTTCTTGGTAGATTGACACGTCCCACATTCCTCCCGTTTCTTACTTGAACAGAACTGTGGATGTTTGGGGGGCTTTGGAAATCATTTTGTATCCATCCTGATTGTACTTTTCAACAATCTTTTCTCCGAGTTGACTTAGGACAGTCACTTAAAGGGGGTGAATAATTTTGCAATCACTTATTTTACATGTTTCTGTTTGGCTGACCTGTCCAGGGTGCCCCCCTCCTCTCCCACAGTGACTGCTGCTGGTCATGGGCACCACACAACTCAGAAAGGAAGAAGCAAGTAAGGATAATGGATGGATGGACGTTATTATTCTGTAGAACTTTGATCTCACTATATTGAAGTTTTCTTATTTTTATTATTGTAAAGAAGACCCATTTATATTGACCATGATTGATTATTGATAGCAGTAACAGTACAACACATCCAAGAAGTTGAACACATCTTATAGGCACTGTAAATAAACGGAACTGAGCAGAACTGAACGTCTTGTAGACGGTTTGAAACATGGTGAGAGGCAAGTACAGAAGACATACAGCCGACCCAGAACCAGCTGTGCACATTGTTTCTTTACTCCTCTCACAACGGTTTATTGCTCAATATTAATCAATCAATCAATTAATTAATTAATTGATTAATTAATTAATTAATTAATGTCATAAAGTACACCTCCAGGTTATTTTAGGGGCAAAATGTCTTGTTGGATTGGTGTTCTGGTTCTGTCATCGGATAGCACAGATGTCCAGTATACAAAATTTGGCTCTACAAGTGGGACAGGTGACTCTGGTAGACAACCAGGTCTCCGGTCTTTGCTGGTCTTGACGACTTGCGAACCATCGACCCAGACACATCAAACACCACATTGGTCTGCATGAACACAGCTGGCACTCCGATTCATTCCCCATTCCTGTAAGACAAACACAGGTGGAGTCAGTTGAGGCTGTACACATTCATTCATAGACAAAACGAGGACAGATTTCCTATAACCGAAACAAAAACATTGCCATAGACGTTCTCCAGCAAGCAATGACTTTAAAATGTGATGAAGTACAAGTGCTTTGTCCCATTTAGAAAGAACCTGTTCTTTCAACACAAGTAATATCTGGACAACACTGAAGTTCAGAAGTTTACATACACTCCATTTATTATGGGCATAAATGTCATTTTCATTATTTAAGAATTTATTCGAACCAGTTTTCTAGAGTGGAATGATTATTAAACGTACAAATTTAATGAGTTTTCAAAACAAGTTTATCAATATTTTTAATTCACACAGTGTCAAAATATTACAAATATGTGCATTCATCCACCTAAATCTTTTCCTCAGTGGTGCTGAAGGTGTTTTGACTTCTCACTTCTGATCAGGAATCACTGAAGCTGGTAGTTTCTCTTGCATTGCCAGCTTCGAATGGATTTGTTTGACAGCACTCACTGGATTGACCAACACTCATCTGTCCTCAGACTAAATTGTAAATTGTAGATGCACTGATCCGATACAAATATCGGTACCAGTCCCGATATGGAAAACCTTCTGGATCGGGTATCATGACAATGTGACCGATCCATGACTGGGCAGATCTATTCACTCTAACTCTACGCTTTGTGCTCTGAGTGACGTCACGCGCTAACGAACTCGCCGCGCAGATTGTTTTGAAAATGGAGCGAGCGAAAGGGTCAGCCATCTGGAACTACTTCACACGACCTCAACCAACACATTCGACAGCTACGTGCAATACGTGCGCAGCGACGGTTCCAAGGGGCGGCACTAAAACTTCCAGCTATAACACTACCAACTTAATCAAGCATCTCCAAAGATTTCACCCTAAAGAGCACGACAAGTTTGTTGAACGAAATTCAGCACTTTCTGTATCAGATCGCCATCGGATCGGTATCGACCGGCACCAAATCGCAGATATCGGTATCGGTAGTGGAAAAAGTGGATCGGTGCATCCCTATTGTAAAGTAAATCTGTTTGGATGTTCAAGTACAACCCAGGAAGCACCACGGCTCAAGCCTGCCACGATGGATCAGCAGTATCCCTGTCCGCAGTGAAGACAGATTTACCTCAGAGGACTAAAAGGGTGCTGAACAAGGAAAAGGGTCCTGCTTCAAGCTGGACTCAAATCCATCCACAAGGATGACACAAATTCAATTCAATTCAAAAATACTTTATTAATCCCGCAGGGAAATTAAATGCTATTGTAACTCGTTATCCTGGTTTCATTAAGAGATGTTATAGATGCTGATGCTGTAGGCAGGAAGGATCTCTTGTAAAGGTCCGTCCCACAACAGATCCAAAGAAACTGGCTGCAGATGCCGTCCGATCCGTCCACCCAGACTCGGCTGGCCTCTCATTTCCTCCGGGCTGCATTTATAATTTATGTAAAATTAAGGAGCCAAGAACAACGTACCTTTGTTCAAACCACAACATATTCACAATCCGGGGATTTAAAAATGTCCAAATCATCCACCCAGCGCTTCATAGATTGGACCAGCGCTTCCAGTAACTTGTAATTCTTTAAATTATTTGCAGTGTGAGCACTGACACACCAGCTCTGATAAAATGACTGGGAATGTCCGTGGAGGCAAATATTACTCGGGTCTCTGCTCCTTTTATATTTTTATTCTTCTCAAACGGGCGACATTTCCAATTTTACCTAGTTTTTCCATGTTTTTTCGTTTTTAATCATCTGGGAGAAGTTTGTCACGACATCGTCCACTTTGTTTTGAGCTGCTTTCCAGCGTTCTGAAGGAGGATACAGCGGTGACACCACGGACAAACACCAGAGTTTGTTTTTTCCTGAGGACAGTAAAAATGGAGGTCGAGACGGGAACACCCCCACACGCCCCCAACACGGTGACGTAGGTTCCAAAGCTCTACACAGTAGAACCCCAGGAAGATACTACACATAAAAACACTTTCTGTTGGAGAACAAAAGTAAAACGTTAACACTATTCAGTGCTTTTACATTTCAGGATAAAGGAAAAGATCAAACTTTGATTAAAAAGCAAAAAAATTATAAATAAATAAAAACAACAAATCAACAAGTAAGTCCTTAATTAACAAACACTCCACTTTGAAATAATAAAGAATATTTGCATCCTGGTAAATTGGTAAACGTATAAATTAGCACAGTTTGTCGGCTGTTTGATTGTGACTCATTGATGTTATCTGGTGAAAACAGATTTTAACTGCTATAAATATTATTTATGTCATTATTTTATGTTTTGTTTACATCAATGGTTTACTTTGTTTGTTTGTTTTGTATGTTGCACCACATAGGAACCATTGTTCAGTGCTATGTTGCACTGGGGACATTTTTTATTCAAATTATTAAGGAACAACACAAAAACGATTTGCTTCATCAGTTTAAATGTTAAATGGACTGTACTTGTATAACTCCTTTCTATCTTAGCGAGACACTCAAAGCTCTTTACAACAATCTGTGCCTCATTTACACATTCATACAGCTCTATACTAGATCTCTACAAAGATTATGATAATTTGACTATTTAGTCAGTTGTAACGTCTTGAATCTAATTCCCCTTGCCAAATGAATCTGGATATCAGTTAGTCAGTTTCCTGAAACGTAGTTTTGGCAGGTTCTGCTGGAATTGTCTGAAACAAGTAGTCATTTTGGCAACATTATCATTTTTATCATTTCTACTCTTTGCATGTTCCAAATGAGGTATTAGGTTCCATCTGGCTAAATCTGCTTTTATTTTGGCCATTAAAGGGTCATAATTCATAGAAATTATATTTATGGTGTCTTTTGGAATGGTCATGCCCAAGTACACGATCGATTCCATGTGGACCCAGATTATTTTAAAGTTTTCTTTGACTGTGTTGTTAGGTGAATATTTAAATGCTAGTACCTGTGACTTATGGGAGTTCAGTTTATAACATGAGAATTTCCCGTATTTCATCAAAGTTTCATATAATTCTGTAAAGGATTCCTGGGGTTTAGCCAAATAAATAAAAATGTCATCTGAAAATAGAGCTAACTTTTGTTCTTTATGGTTTACGTCAACGCCGTGTATTTAGCCTGATCCATTGTGCTACAGGTTCAACGAATATCGCAAATTATATTGGGGACATAGAACGTCCGTGACTACAGCCTTACTCGATCTTTGCAACACCCGACAGTCCACCATTGAGCCTAATTTAACCCGTGGGTTTGTTATATAACAACAAAGTCCATGCTCAATAATCCAGGTACACAATCCAACATTTTTCAGTCAGGTCATCTGGACAGTTTCTTTTTTGTGCTGAAATGTTTCACCTTCGATCCAGAAGGCTTCATCAGTCAAGGAAACACACAACACAGCTGATTCTTCAACAGTACCGCACGGCAGAATCCGACACTTGCTTACTCTCCCGGAAGTCGCACGGGACATTTCAAGCTGTTGCAACCCTCCGCCAAGAAAGCATGTGCAGCAGAAGTATTGTGCTTTGCCTAAAGGCTTAAAAGAAGTTAAGAAGAAGACTGAAGATTTACTTTTGTTCCAGCGGACTCATTCCCTCTTTGGTTGTGTGCAGCCAGCCAGGTGTGTTTATTAGGGCTGCAACTAACGATTATTTCAATAATCGATTCATCCGCCGATTATTTTTTCGATTAATCGATGAATCGGCAAAAAAACCCACAACGTTTTAATTTCTACCCCTTTATTCCAAAATTGAACATTTGACTGACATAGCAATTCACACAAAAAACAGGTTGCTATTTTACTATTCTGTTAGTAAAATATTGAATAATAAAAAATATAAGTTAGTCAAATAGCTTAAAAAAATTAAACACAAAAATATATACAAATGTGTCTTTGTACCTGCACAACATGTAGCTACTTTGTAAAATGTGTCATTGAGGGAAGAGTGTAACCTGGATTAAGTGTGGATTATTGTAACCTGGATTAAAAGTGTGGATTATTGTAACCTGGATTAAAAAAGTGTGGATTATTGTAGTGAAGCCTTCGTCTTCAACCATCGACAGAGGCCTCATGTCAGTGACGATCATGTTCAGGATGTTTCAGTGAAGACAGCTGCTGCTGTGGTGTCCATGATGTCTGTCCATCATGAAGGATGTTGTTGTTTGTTGTTGTTGTTTTCTGGAATGAGACAGTAAATATGTTTTATAGCATAATTTACAACAACTCAAGAAAAGCCTTGTTTCACTTACAGTGTTAGGTTCAGGCAAAAGTAGCTAAAAGAGCAATTAAACTCACACACACACACACACACACACATATATATATAAAATACTTAATTACACACATTTGAGTAGATGTAATAAATTACTTTAATTCCTGTTTAAATGCAATTCATCCTGCCATACCTGCAGTGTCGTCAGACTTTCCAGCAAATTAAAAGTTGAAGCTTAATCATTAAATTATTATCTTTGTGTTAGATTTATTTATAAATCACATTTAAACACTGCTTGTACCAATTAAATTAAATAAAAAGTAACACACGTTCTCTATCACCGTCATTAACCAGATAAACAAACAAACAAACAAACAGCTTCATCTACAGACAGACTGACGTTACGTTTTCTCTCTTGAAACAGAACAAAGTGTTAAATTGTAGAGACTCACCTGCAACAAGAGTTGTATCTGCTGCAGCTCCTTCCTCCTCCTCCTCGTGACTCCGACATGTTTACGTTTCACCTCCGTGGTTCTCTCGTGTCGTGTCGTCACTTTTTCAAAGCTGCATGTTTCTCAGTTTTTATCTTTGTGAAGTTCTCCCACTCTTTGGAGGACTTGGGTCAAACAGTTTTCGCTGCGTCGGTCATTTGTAAAATTTACTTTAATTTCCTTTAAAAACAGCCTCTGCTTTGCTTCCTCCTCCCCCCTCGCTCTGTTCAACTCGCGCTGCAGTTTTTGTTTTTCAAACTTTATTCAGCCAGTCAGCATTGACAATGAACTGCCTGTGAACAAAACGAAACGGCTCCGCAGCGCCGTGAAAGATGCATAATCGCGTGACACAACGAATCGATAACGAAATTCGTTGCCAACGCTTTTAATCATCGATTTTTATCGATTCGTTGTTGAAGCCCTAGTGTTTATTTGTATTAGGTTTCATTGTGCAGATTTGTGTGCAGTATATTTTGTACATTGTTAAATTTTTTGAGCAGTTCGACGGTGGATTTAATGACCATGCCAAGTGACTTAAGTGCTGTTCAGACGAATAATTTTGTGGAGGGAGTGATCCTGATATTTTAACCTGTAATTATGTTTGACCCTCTGTGGATTTGAGCAAATGCACAATAAAGTCAGACATGAAGCTGATTGTTGTAGCTTGGAAGACACAGAACTGAGTAACATCCTGAAACACATGGGACCTTCTTGCCCAGGAGCGGCAGCTGCTCGTTCTTACCTGCAGCCTGGCAGAGTCGGACCAGCTTGGCGTCTGCAGGAACCTGCATACAGCCGATGCAGAGCTCCACTTCCTGTGGGGGTGCAGAGCACACGTGTCTGACTCGTATGACACTTCACGTGTGAACACGTCGTTCTAGCTGCAGCGTACCTGTCCACTGGGCAGCGTGTACGGCTGATTGAGCTCCACCTGAGCTCTGAAGGTATCCAGGAACAGCTCGCTGATGGTTTGGCGGATCACAACGTTAGGAGAATTTCTTAATGGAGCATAGAGCTTCAGCCTGAGATCAGCGTAATCTGTAGAGTTAAGACTTTAAAAAGACAAGAGAAAGACTTCAGTTTGAGGTTTTGGCATGGCATTAGGCACGCTGCCTCTAGAACAGCTTTTGGTCTCACCAACACTTTGTCAGATGATTTTAGACACAAATAAATGACCAGAGCTGCTACATCTAAATCCCATGCTGTCAATCAGATGTGTGTGTGTGTGTGTGTGGGGGGGGGGGGGGGTCACTGCAGAGTGTTGCCCCACCATCACAAATAAGTGTTTATTGAACGTAAATTTCGTAAAATGATTCTGAAGTACAATAATCAGCTTGTTGTGCTGCAGTTAGTTCAACAGTTGGTGTAAAGTGTAAATTAATTTAGGCCTTACAAGCAAGACCCTGTTCTATGGGCCAGAGGGGTTCAACTCAAAATATGCCTAAAGTGTATATTAGTAGATCCAGTAATATTATTTAATACCCACTGCCTTTATACTTTGGAGACAAACAGCTCAGAGAAAATTCGGTGAGCTCTGTTAGGAGTTTAATTGTAAAATATATTTTTCTCGAACCCTTAAACCAAACCAAACAAGCAGTTTGTCAGTGTCCCCCAAAACTGTGGGTTTCATTGAACAGAGAACGTTTGTAGTTTTCGAGATGAGTTTTTCTGGACTGGAATAGAACAGAGAGTGTGAGTAAACCTTAATGTTTTCAGTGTAAGACCCTCAAGTGGGTAGGAGTTTTTGAAAGGAACCTTTCTTACCCCTGGATGCAGCCACATACCGGTACTTACGTTTCAGGTTGTCGTGCTCAAAACATGCACAAATGGACGGAAAAAGAGTTTCCAATTCTAAACTAACCCAAAGGCCAATCCGTCCTCATCAGTCCCAGCCCTTAATGTCACGGTTTGAGACTTTTTCTGACTAAATGGGTTGTAACTGTTTTGGTCAAACCTTGAAAAGTCGTGTGATCTCGTGATATCTAGGCCTGTCACAACAACACATTCTGTTGGGCGAGTAACTGTCTCAGAAATTATTGCCATAAACGATAATATTGATGGAAATTTGACAATAATGACTAATTATTGTCAATTTAAGAAGAAATGTGTTAATTTGTGTGTGTAGTATCTTTTTTTGACCACTGGATGGTAGTATAAGACTGTTTGAACTGAAGGATGGATAGTGAGGGAGCGAGCAGTGTCTCTTTAAGAAAAATGGGAGGGAGGCCCCTTGACGTGACATGGGCTGTCTCTCCTTCCTTTTTTCGGTTTTCAAAATGGCGGATGCTCGGTGTGGTTTGAGCTCTTCAGCATAGCATTTGTCACACAAAGCTTTTAATTAAAAAAAAAAAATCAGTAAACAAGTTCTCAGCTTCTTTTTGCAAACAAAAACAACTTTTTACACGATGGTACGAGCTTCAACCGTGAATTTTGGATCTTCGACAAGACAGAAGTTTTTTCCCAAGGTCGACCTGTTAGCTTAGCTCGTAGCTTAGCTTCTCAGCTTAGCTGCTTTTAACCGTCCAAAAACACAATTTTAGATGTTAAAACAGATTTCAAAGAGAAAAGAGAAAGGGAGGTGTCAGTGAGGAGCACCGGAGATGAGCCTGTTGTCGTCCAGTGTCCAGTGAAAGAGAGAGACACGAAGAAACAATAAAGCCGATAAATGAAAACGAGGTTGATCATTTTCATTTATCATGCGATTCATTGATTTATTGTTTATCGCGACAGACCTAGTGATATCACGTTTTATGAGATGTGTTCAGTGCTCAAAGTACGTGCTCAGTGTCCGTGAAACTGGCTGAGTTTGAGACATTTTTGTGTTTGCTAATAAGGATTAGCTGTGGCGGCCATCTTGAATTAAACTGACTCTGTGGGTCAATCACTTGTGCGTGCAACGACTACATCTGGAGCGTTCCTGTTAAAGTTTGTGCGATGTCTGCCAGGTTCTGGTTCAACAACGAGCGGAAAGGACTCGAGGATCCAGGCATCAAAGAACTGAAGGCGTCTTTCTTATAAAGAGCTGAAGTGCTAGCACAGAGAACACTGTCACTCTGGACTAAACATCAAACTTCTGGCTGAGGCTCAGGGAAACTACTGAGAATGTGACAGTAAGGAGACGGGACCCAGGAGGTTCTTTAAAGGGTGGAAACGGACTAAACTGGAAACATCTGGGCCAGTTAACTGGAGGTAAATACAAGGGGCAATATTCTGAAAGGCAACACAAAGATCTTGAAAACACACAAAAACCCACATCGTGACAATATCCTGCTACTAGGGGTTGAACGAGTATATAATTTTTAAACTCGACATTAACAAAATAAAACCCGAGTAGAACTCGAGTATTTGATGACGTCATAGATCTCAAGATACAAAAATAAATAAATAAATAAAACCGCAAAAAAAGGTAATTATTTACAAAAAAAAGACCGACAAAACATTGGGAGCGTATATTCTGCTCCTACCATTTATCATACTGCAAATAAGTCACAGGAAAAACTAAACTATTAGTTTTTATTATTAAACTGCAAACGTGAAGAAACGTGCAGCACGTCAGAAACGAAACTTAAACCGAAACTGGTTCTGTTTCGGTGGATTGGACCCGGTGTTGCACCATACTCTGTGACCTGCAACAGAGCAACACCGCCCCCTACGGTCACACGTGGTCCCATTATATGACGTCACTACGGAGACTCGTTTTGATGGTTTTGTGCAGCAGCTGCAGCAACAACTTTCAACGTTTCTTCAAAAACGATTCAAGTATAATTGTGACCAAACATGCAGATTACAATATGTGCAGAATCAATAATTTAGAGAAGGTTATATTAAGGATTATAAACAAAGAATAGAGAGAAAGAGCAAGCCAGAGTGTGCATACCTAATGTTGAATGATCTGACTGCAGGGTTGATGCTGTGTACTCTCAGGGTCAACATCTGGATGGGGGAGGCTGACTCTGGACTCAGCTGGTGCTGTCTGGACTCTGTCACAGTCACATGACACTCACTCTGTAAGACCATGTGGACGTGATAGGTGGTGGCCTGGAGACAGATGGGCAGAGCGCGCACGTGGAGGAGCAAAAGGATTTATTAAAATAATTCATGATCATACAGAGTAAAACTAGAGGGTGGCACTGTGCAGCTGTGGTTAGCTCAGTCGCCTCACAGCAAGAAGGCTCGGGGTTAAAACCCTTATGGCTCCCACAGACTCGGACGGACCGGAGTCCATGAGGAAACTGTGCTCTGTCCAGACGGTTGACTTCATACTCGAGCTACACCCTGAGCGGCAGCAGCCAGCTCTGCAGGCAGGGGGCGGTTACCTTTGAGACAAACTGAGTTCACCGATTGGTCATTTGCTCACACGCCTACTAGATTGATTGACAGGTCAAAAAAACGAGAGCTGGCAGCCGCAGCGGCGTTCTGCGTTTAGATGTTGTTCATAAAAAGTGACTCTTTCTTGGTGCAGTTTGTTCTCCCCCTGCACATGTGGGTGGTTCTCCAGTTTACTCCCCCAGTCCCAAACCAAGCCTGGTACTGGACCATCAGGTGTGTGTTTCATGTGTTTATGTTTGTCCTGTGATGGAACAATATGGTTTGTTTTCACTACGGGAACCTTTTCAGGAACATTAGGAGCATTCCTGTAGACATCTCCACCAGACAACGGCCTTTGTAGGAAACTAAAAGTATGTGGAGGAGACTAAAGAGTGGATTTACAGAAACAATCCATTAAAACTGCAGAGGAGTCGAGATGCTGCTAACTGGGCTGTTGTATTCATCCATCCATCATCTGCCATCCATCCATCCATCCATCATCCATCCATTCATCATCCATGTGCCATCCATCCATCATCCATCCATTCATCATCCATCCATTCATCATCCATGTGCCATCCATCCATCATCCATCCATTCATCATCCATGTGCCATCCATCCATCATCCATCCATTCATCATCCATCTGCCATTCATCCAT